GGGGCCCGGGGTCCGGCCTGCCCCTGCCCCTGCCCCTGCCCCGCGCGCTGGGCGGCACCGGACTGGTCGCCTGATCTGTGCCCACGGGCTGTCAAGCCGGGCGTGGCCGGGCGAGGCAGTGGTGTCTAGGAGTTGGGCTGGGGGCTGCCTGGCAGGGGTTAGAGCTCCCCGGACTCCTGCTTTCCGTGCCCGGTTCGTGCGTGGCGTTTTCTGCACGCGCGGGTCTGGGCTCGGTCTCCTTGTCCGGTGCCCGGGCGGCGGCCGAGGGAGGGGCAGCAGGCAGAGGGCGCGTGCGGGGGGCACCGGGCTGGTGCCCGCGGCGCGCTCCGTCACGTGGCGGCTCTGTGCAGGGCGCTGGTGCCTCGGTGGCCAAACCCGGGTCCGGGGGTGGGGGGGATCCAGGGCCGTGGGAATGGCTCGCTGGAGGGCGTGGGGCCAGTCGGGTGGGAGCTGGCTCCATGACTTGATGTCATCTCCTGGGACCTCTCCCGGCCCCGCAGGGCAGTGCTGGAGGACGTCCTTCAGCTTGTCCAGAGCCCTCGGCCCCGCGCCGTGATGTCCTGGGGCAGCTTCCGTGTGCCTTGGCTGGCCCCCCTGGGACTTGGGGGTCTCCCGATGGGGTCCCCGTCCGGGCACCTGGCTGCGGGCTGCTCCGTCCCCGCCCCACGTGTCAGGGGCCGGGTGGTTGGGGTCGGGGCCGCTCCTCCCTTTGTTTCGGGAACCGGCCTCTCAAAGGCATCTTGGCTTGGGCCCCTTCCTCATGCCCCCATGCCCAGTTGATGCCAGGGCTGGACGTGCGACTGGCAGGCCTGGCTTCCTCGCCCTGAGGTCTGGCTCCAGCGCCATGCCCTGGAGCCCGCTCCATCCATGCCGGGAGCAGCAGGCTGACTCCGGCAGTGGGGCTGGGGCACCTGCCATGGGCATCTGGCGGGGCCTGGCCTGGGGGGCTCTGGGCTCAGGGCAAGGCCTCGTGATGCCGGCGGGGCAGAAGGGGGCTGGGAGTGGAGCTGCCCATCCTGTAATCTGCGCGCGGCTAAACAATCACGCTTAAACAATCACGGCGGAAATTGCCAGCTGTGCTCGTCGCCGCTCCTTCACACGCCGCCGTGGCACTGGTCCCCTCCTCCCATGGGGCCGCCGTGTCAGCCCCCCTTGCCAGCCTCCCTAGCCGGCACCGGGTCTGCAAGTGGGCGCACACGTGTGCCTGAGCAGCCCCCCCCCAATTACCCTGCTAGGCCAGCTCTGTGCTGTGGCAGCTTGTGGCCCTGCACGGCTATGGTCGGGGCACTCGTGGTGCCGGGCGCTGCATGGAGAAAGCAGAGGCCATCACGGCCAGGCAGATGAGGCAGGCAGAGGCTGGGAGGGGGAAACTGAGGCATGGGGTGGCCACGTCCCCCCGTAGGCCAGTGGCAGAGCCAGGGGGAGCAGGCAGGCAGGGGTCCATTTTGGTGCTGATGAGGATGCAGTGGGGGGGATTTGGGGGCCCTGGCAGGCTCCCTGCCCCGCTCAGCTGTATTTGCATACATGGGAACTTAACCCTTTCCCATCCTAAACAGAGCCTGCCCACAGGGCCGGATCCCTGGAGCCTGTCATGTTCCCAGCCTGCACACTCACGCGCTCGCAGTCATTTCACAGCCGCCACTTGTGTGACAGTCATTGCACACTTCCCCCTGGGCTCAACATGGCCCACAATTGTGATGCACACCCCAGCACCCTGCCACGCACAGGGCACGCTCCGTGTCTGCATGCAGTGTGCACTCACCATCCGTGCGGATGCATGCGCAGGCTTAGCGCACACTTTCACGTGTGTGTGCCCACGCTCGAATGAACATGTACAGATGTTCCCATGTGAACATGCCTAGTCCCCCTACTGCAAGTGTCTGGCAGCGATGCTCCGTGGAAGGGTTGAGGTCAGACAGGCACCATGGGGCATCCTTTGGCCCCACGGTAGACGCCCCATGGTACCCTTACCTCCACCTAGCTGGGGGAGCATCGCTGCCAGGCAGCTAGGGCAGGGGGACTATGCACGTTCACATGGGTATGCACGTGAAAGTTATGCCCCCCTTCCCCAGGGAGATGAGGCCTCCCCCGTGCCCAGCCCTGCTGCCCCTAGGCTGGGCCATACCTGCTCCTGCGAGGAGCTTCCCAGCACTGGAGGAGGCAGCCTCTGTCTCTGCCTTTTTCCCGCAGTCCTTCATCCAGCCAATCCTCGCTGCAGCCCTGGAGCCGCGTCTTGGGACCGTGTCGCCCCCGCAGAGACGGCGCGCTGTGATCCTGCCACCCCCAGTCTCTAATTATCTCTCCCAGATGCAGTGCCCAGGTGCCCACACCAGCCACATCCAGGCCCGGTGAGGCCTCTAATTACAGCCATATTCGCCCCAGCCCCAGGCAGGGCAGGGAGTGGCATTGAAACTGCTGCGAGTGGCATTGGGTCACAGGAGGGAAACTAAGGCACGGGGAGAAAGTGATTGTGCAAGTGAGATGGGAACAGAGCCCCGGAGTCCTGCCTGGCTCCCCACTTCCAGAGCTGGGAGTAGGGAACCCAGGAGTCCTGGCTCCTGGTCCCTCTTGCCCTACAACGGTGTCCTCTTGTTCTGGAGTTGGGAAAAGAACCCAAGAGTCCTTACCTTCCTCGCCAGCCCTTCTACTCTAACCGCTAGGCCTCCCTCCTCTCTGAGCTGGGAATTGAACCTAGGAGTCCTGAGTCCCCACCCTTTCTGCTCCAGCCATTAGACTCTACTCCCTCCCCCTCCATGCACAGACCAGGCTGGGACACAGGTGACCCCCCGGGTGGGGGGGCATATGTCTGCCAGGGCTGATGTGAACCCTTCCCCCCCTTATGCCCCAGCCTCGTCCCTGAGCTGTGGGGGGTCCCCAGGGCCTTTGCCTTGGACCCCCCAGCTCAAGTGGGGTGAGGTGTGGACATGCTTCAGTCTCAGTGAGGGGAGTAGGCGTGAGTGGTTAGAGCGGGTGGGATGGGAGGCACGTCATGTCTGGTGGCTTGAGCAGGCAGCCTGGGGGCGAGCTGCACCGTGACTCAGTTTCCCCACCTGTCCCACGTGGGTAATGATGCCCCCAGACTTAGGGCTGGGTCAGGCTGGCTGTGGGGGTGGCAAGGAAAATGTCTGATGGACACAACCAGTGGGCAGCTGCACCCCGCTGCCTTCTCCTGTAGGGACTCGGAGCCACTCCTCTGTGTGTCATAGGCCCTGTAGTGCCAAAAGCCGATAGTGATTCCCTGTGATGGGGGCAAGGGTGGTGCTTGCGCTGTGTCCCTCTCCCCCAGCACCACGTGGGCTCCATCATCCTCCCCAGACACAGGGGCTGACCTGGGAGCCCTCCGGTCCCCGGCACCAGTTGCAGCTCCAGGCCAGGGCTATGTGTCCCCCTTCCCCCAGCCTGTGCCCAGGTGTTGGTGCCGTGGCCGCCAGCCGCTGCGCATTGTCCCAGGCTGCGGGTGCGAGAGGGAGGCACAAAAGGCCCATTGTCCGGGCCTGCCCAATGCCCCCCTCCGCTCTCGCCTTTTGTTTGTGTCCCTGAGCCGGGCAGTGGCGCGGCCGGACGTTCCAGTCCGTTCCCGGGGTGGGCGGGGGGGCCGGGCCCCAGGACCCACGAGTCGGATCACGCGTGGTGCGTGTGCCGGGCAGCTGCGGGGCGCCTGGGGCTGAAAAGGGGGCGCTGAGGCCGGGAGTGAAGGAGGGAGAGCGGGAAGGGGGAGGGAGCCGGCCCCTCGGCCATGTCTGCCTCAATATTGTTTCCATCTGTCTGGAGGAAATCTGAACCTGCCAAGCGGCTCCGGCAGGCCTGCCAGGCCCCCCCCCCCCCCCGGCCAGAAGGGGCCAGGCCCCGCCGACGCTCTCAGCACCAGCATCGCTCAGCGAAGGAGACACGGGGGCCCGAATTCCTGTCTTCGCCGTGGGCGTGAGGCATCTCCCCAGGATAGAGCTGCCTTTGGGGCAGAGGGGAAGGGAGTGGGACTGGGGGCAGCGAGGGTGCCTGGGACAGCATCAGGGGTTTCCTGGCCTCAGGACAGCTGCAGCCCAGCTCTGAAGCCTTGGGCCTGGGGCACCAACGGGGACCGCAGCCTCTGGAGACCCCAGTGCGACTCGGAGGGCAGCTGCGAGGCTCGGGCGCTGGGCGCTGCACAGACCTGCCAGGCCAGCCGCAGCCCCGCCAGCCCTTTGATGCCAGGGGGAGCAGGTGTCAGCCCCCCGCGCGGGTGGGGATGGGACGTTGCAGAACAGAGACGCCGCGACTGCAGCCCGGGGTATTGCTGCGCTCCATGGAGCATCCTCCCCGTGGGGCCGTGCGGGCCGTCCCGGCACAGGGCTGGCACCTGGGGCCTGGCTGGCCTGTCCTGAGCTCCGGTGGCTCTCTGCTTTCTGGAGCCATCCAAGAGGACACAGCGTAGGTGGAGCAGCCCCAAGCCTGCTGTAGCTGGTCCTCGGGCAAGGCAGGCCTTTGTGTTCCTGCAGCCAGCGACTGTGGGGCTGTTTGGTGCCAGGGTCGGGAGGAGGGGTGGGTGGGAATTGGCCCATGCTTGTGGGGGAAGCAGGGGCCCAGAGAGGCGAAGGGGCTTTCCTGAGGCTACGTCAGTCTCAGCTGTGCGCCCTGCCTGGGCCAAGCCGTGGCCCCACTTCCCCTCCGCCTCCGATGCGCTGAACTCTGGGCTTTCGCTTCCTCCTCGCCCCCTCCGTGCCCAGGCTGGCATTTCCCGCAAGCCTCCACCAGCATGAAGGAGGCCGTGCAGAGCAATGGTTAGAGGACTCTGGGGTTCTCTTGCCAGCTCTGCCCCATATGCCTGCCTGACCTTGGCGGAGGTGCTGCACCTCCTAATTATTGCAGAAAACGGGGTGGAAAATGGTGTGTGGCAGTGCTGGGCTGCACCTGGCGCTCACAGGGGGTTGGGCTGGGCTGGGGGCTGCAGGCTGGCATGGAGCCTGGGGGCAGGGGGATGCTCTGTGCCAGGTTGTGAGGAGGCCCCTGTGGGGGCATTCCCAGTTGCCCCATCTCCTCCCCAGTGCCCACAGCGCTGCTGGCACCCGCCACACCACACTGTCATGGTGTCAAGGGGATGTGGGGATGTCAAGGGGCCCTGTTCTTGTGCTTGCGTGGGACCTGGGCCTGCCCAGTCTGGTGCCCCCGGGGTGGCACAGGCAGGCCTGGCGCTGCGTCTGACCATGGGACTCAGCGCCGAGCCCGGGCTGTCACGGGAATGGACGAGGCAGAGACGTCCACGCCCTGGAGGCTGATGAAGGCCCCTGTGCTCACAGGCATGAACGGAGCCATCCCTGGTGCTGGCTTCTGCCCTGGCCCCTGCGGCGTGCTCGGCTTGGGACCAACTGAGTGCCCGGCTCCGAGATGGCCCCCAAACAGGCGTGGGGGCAGCTGGGCTCTGACCAGAGCAGCCCTGGCTGCGTGGATGGTCCCGCTCCCCCCTCGCACACCTGTGGCCGGCAGGGGAGCGGACAAAGCCCGGAAGGCATGTGGGGGGCAGGAAGGAAAGGAGCGAGTGGCGGGCGCTGCCCATGACTCTTCCTCTGCCCAGCTGCGCTTCCTGCATCCCGGTTCACATCTCTTTCCCCCCACCACCGGGTCTCACCCCTCCCCTCCACTGCCTGCTGCTGGATTTAGGGCAGTGCCTCCGCGGGAGGGGGGAGACCCAAGAGCCAGGGGATTAGTGCAGCTGCCGCCCGCTAAGCCGATTGGCATTGGGGCTGCGGCAGGGGGGCGAGGTCCATCGGTCCCAGAGGTGGCTCCATCTGGCCTGGGCAGGGCCGAGCCTGGAGCATTGTGCCCCTGTGTCTCGGTGGGCAGCTCGGGGGCCTGGCTGAGGGCTCTGCCCCCCTCCCAGTGGTGCCAGGTTGGTCCCGGGAAGGTTCCCATAGTTTCGGACCCGCCTTGGCTGCAGCAAAGTCCAGGCCCAGTCGGACCGGCTGTCCCACTCCACCCAGCCCGGAGGCCTTTGCTGTGAGCAGGGGTGCGGGCACCTGTGCCTTAGCACTCCAGCTGTGAAGGGCACCCTGGCTGAGCCATGCTGGAGCCCAGCCAGCCTGCCTCGCACACTCACTCATCTTCCACTGCAGCCCTCCGGGGGTTAAACACCCTCCCACCCAGGCTGCTGGATGGAAGTGGAGGTCGCAAGTCAAAGGTCGCTTGTCTGCCAACACCAGGTCACTCATTAATGTGCTGACAGGTCATTAACCCTGGACTCCCAGGTCCCTTCCCCGGGCCAGGCTGGTGCAAGGCAGAGGATGAGGGTCAGGGTGATGGCAGTGCTTTGAGGCTCTGCCTGGCCCTTGGTGCTAGGTGCTGCACATGCCCATGCACTGGGACTCATGGCTGCCCCCAGCGATGACCCTGGTCCCCGGGCTGCACTGTTTGCAAGCACAGGCTGGGTGGGCACTTGTGGCCCCTTGGTCTCACAGTGCCCCTGAGCTGCACAGGGATGTGTCTGAGCCAGGAGACAACCCTGGGCAGAATAGACCTGACAGGTGCTGGATTTGGCCCCTGTGCCCTATAGAGGGGTCCAGGCAGGGACATCCTGCAACCAGAGAGTTCAGGAAGCTACAGAGGAACACGGCGGCCCTCAGAGAGGGGGGCAGTCAGGTAGCACCACTGCATAGGGGAGTAGGATTAAGTACCCCCCCACCCCACCCCATCGCTGCCTCCTGTGGGAGCACTGGGACTCACTTGCTCTGCCCCCTCCTCTCCCAGCTCCCCCACACCGCATGCGTGAGAGCAGGGAGCCTGCCCCAGGCATTGCCAGCATGGCCAGGGCGGGGGCTCCCAGCTCTGCTTCCATTCAGGAGCCAGCGCACTCGCATCCCAGTGCCTCGGGAGGGTTCGGGGGCTGCTGTGTCTACCTGCTCTGCCCGTGCCTGCTGCAGGCCCTGTGGCCCACATCGGGGAAGTGCCAGGTGCTCCCTGCAACCTCAGCTGTACGAGTTTGTGCGCCTCTGGTGTGGCATGCACTGTTCACGTGTGCATGCGTGTGTGCACATGTGCTCTACTGGGGGCATATCCCAGGCTTCTGGGCTTTGCTGGTTGCCACGTGGGGTTGGGAAAGAATTTTTTTCCTTTCCTGTTGCTACCTGTGTCAGGGTTTTTTTTTTACATCTCCCTCATCGGGTGTTGGCTGCAGCCCAGACTGGGGATGGGGACTGGGCTGTGCCAATGCGCCTGCTGGGCTTTAAAGGCAAAGGGTCCTGGCTAGAGGGTCTTGCCGGACGCTGCATTGGGGTCAGGGAGGAATTTCCCCAGAAATTCATATTAGGGTCAGATTGGTATGGACTGAGGGTGGTGGGGGCCTTCCTCTGTAGTGGGGCACAGGCTCAGCCTGGGTTCTCTGGAGAGTATTTTAATACCCAGGACGTTGGCCATGGCCCCCCTGCCTTCCCTAGGGCAGGTCCAGGTGTGATGTCAGAGGTGACTGTAGCTTTGCTAAGAGGTTGGACAATGCATGCATCTGGGCTGGTTTGGACAGGGCTGATCCTTGGGCCAGGGGTTGGACTGGACAGGACCTCTAGAGCTCCCTTCCAGCCCTGCTCTTCTGCGTGTGCACGTGTGTCTGTGCATGTGCACACGCACACAGGCCCGTGCTCCCTGTGGCCCCCTCCCCCTCCTCTCTCCCAGCAACAGGAGAAGGCGTGGATCCGAGCTCTTCCGCGAGATGGGGCAGCGAGGGTTAAGGACTGTGCGCTCAGCTGTTGCCATGGCGATTTCTTTGCGCCTAGAAACCCAAGCACTGATGCCTCCGTCCCCTCGGGCCCCCCAGTCCCGGGCTGAGCCCATTTCACATTGCATCTGGGGCGGGAACGCTGATGCGCTCTGTCACTGCAGCCGGGTGCCCGGGGCTCTGTGGGGCTGGGGCAGGCTGGTTCCCGCCGCCCCGCGTGGCTCTGGGTCCATCCCGCCGCCACCCCCAAGGCTCCCCGTGGGCTTTGCTGCTTTCTGGGGTCCCTGGGCCAGCTCCGTGCCCAGGATCCCACTGCTCTTCCTGGCAGAGAGCAGGAAACTGAGTCACCGGGAGAAAGTGACTGGTCTGAGATCACACCCCGGGAGCCGTGGGCAGGGAACCCAGGCATCCAGGCTGCCCCTGCACCTAGCACCAGCGCTGCACTCTTCCAGCCAGAGGTGGGGGTCCTGGCTCTGCACAGGCCCACTTATGGCCACGAGCCAGGGCAAGGCCTGAATGGGGAGCGTCTGTCTGTCCTTCCCATCAGCCCATCCTTCGCCTGCCGGGTGCTGGGAAAGTGCTGGTGGCTGGAGGAGGACAACGGGCATCTCCAGGCAGCCCCCAGCTGGAGCCCGAGCTGTCACTTTGTGAATGGGGCTCCTGATCACACCCCTTCATGCATATTCACAAGGCACTTTGCATGCAAAGCACGAATGGAGGCGACAGGGGGGCCCATCTGTTGTTCTCATCCCACCAGGGTCCCTCCTTGGGGCCAGACGGGGCTGCCCTGAACCTCTGCCCCCAGCCTGGGTGCTGCCCTCCTCCTCCTTCCCTGTACTCAGCGTGGAGGGCACCTCCCTGCGGTGCAAGCTGCAACCCCAGGTCCATCTGTGCCCAGCAGCTTGGGTGACGCTCTCCCTGGATGCTGCGGCTCCCCACTGGGCCTCCCCCTACCTCTGGAGCCCTGTTCCTCAACAGCCAGGAGCAAGTGCCATGCAGCCATCCTAGTGGGGCTTGGAAAGCAGCCCCCTGCCCCCGGGGAGGGCAGAGGGGGGACAATACTCTGCTTCTCTAGACTCCTAGCAGGAAGTCAGACAGCAGCAGGGCGGAGAAGCTGAGAGGCAGCAGGAAGCCAATTGCTTTGTTCTAAGAGAGCTCCTTGTTCAGGGTTGGAAGAAAGCTGCTCCGTCCTATCGGCCCCTGGCACTGGCACCTCCTTGCATTCTCTGGCCCCAAAGCAATTCTGACTTAGCTGCTGGGGGCAGCAGCGGTGTCTTATGTCTGCACACCCGTACACGGAGCCAAGCGCAGCCGTGCACGCCCGCGCATGGAGCCGACCGGGGGCCCCGGTCCTCACCAAGGTGCTTCTGGGATGCAGGGAGCGCGCGGAGAGATCAGTGCTCGATCAGGCTGTGGCCCACGCCGCGTATCTGGCAACACCTCCCTGCACGCGCACACTCCAGCCTGCTGCAGGTGTTGGAGAGGGGAACTGTTGTTTGCCAAATTTTTCCACCTTTTTTTCTTTTTCCCTGGTGGGGTTTCGAAAGCATAATGATGCATCGGGCTGAGAGTTTATCCCAGGATGGTCTGAGCCATGATTCTGTATTGCATGCATCCCCTCGCCCTGAATGAATAGACCCAATCCGCTGCGTTAGTCACCAGCCTGATGAGTAGCTGTGATAGAACGTGTCCCTCCAGCCAGGGGAGGGAGCGCCTGGTAGCAATTAGCTCTCCACGGGTTCGTTGTTGCATATCCAGGCTGTTTATCGCCAGCCTTGCTGACCCGTCTTCCCTGGGGGAATAGGAGTCTTAATTCACTAATGTGTCTTCTGAGCTTTGGGACTCTTCAAGGGAGCCAGGGACTCGTAGAGCATTAATTGTTAACCCACAGACGATGGATAGAGATGGATCGGAGCTCCCAGTCCTGTGGGGTGGAGGAGGGGTGCAGCCTTGGCAGATGTGGAGACTGAAGCATGGGGCGGGGATGTGGGCACGCGAGCCAGGCGGGCACAGGGTTTCTGGTTCTAACCCTGCGGAACCGGGCAGAGTTGCTCGGGTTCAGCCAAAATGCATCGTTGGACCCAGATGGAGAGATCTGGTTCATGACCTGCGGATGTCAAGTCGGGTTCTCATTGGCTGGAATCTGCTCATGTCTTTTAGATGACATCACAACTGGCTTTTCCCAGAGGTTTCTCCCCCTCCATCCTCCCTTTCCTTTCCCCTCTCCTGCTTTTTCCTGGCCACAGCTGCTCCTTCAGCTCCACCCAGATCCATAGATCACCTCCAGCAGCTTGATGATGTGTTTGCTATAAAGCTTTGACCCAGCAGAAGACCGGGGTCCCAGCTGCCCCCCGAGCGCTAGGAGCACAGCTCTGCTTTGGAGCTGGCAGGAGAACCCAGGTGTCCTGACCCTGGCCTGGGGCTTTATAGGCTAAGGCTGGAGGAGCCTCTCAGCGAGGGCACGGAGACAACAGTCTGCAAGTGGCTCATCCTGGTTCTGGGTTTCTCCCACCCGCCCCAA